TTTTCTTTTGATTTTTTTCATGTTTTAAATCCTTTCCAATATCAGTATTCAACGTTTTATGTTTAATATATCAAAACATTATTTATGCATTTGTAATTGCAGGTTAAATGCATTCATGTCTTGCATTAAACAAAATACATGTGTGTAAATACATCTAAATGCCACTTCAGATGCAGCTTCTGTGTTGATTTAATTTGCTTGGTAACAGCCCAAATGTCTTATTATTCTAATTCCCTGATTAAATGTAAGAATTTGACTCAAAAGATAATGGACACTTTTAGAAAAAATGGCTTTTTTAAAGGTAAAAATGCCCATAAAATGCAAAAATCAGTTTAAACTTATTGGATTTCAGTACTTATCAGTATGAACTGACCACCACACAGAATATGAAGAATATTAAAAACATTAGGAGTCAGCTGTCTTCGGCAGTCCTTAAGGTACCAGCACAATAACACACTCAGCAAAATATCGTCTAATTATTGTTATCGATAAAATCCCATAAAATATCGAGATATAATTTTTTGTCAATATCGCACACCCCTACTCGCAGTGCAGTGCTCATGTTTATTCAATGAAGTGAAAGCCTTTTGGAAAATCTATTTGTGGCGGTCAGTTGATATTGTGGCGGGCCGCCACAAATAAATCAATGTATGGGAAACACTGAAGATCTAAATATTAAAAATTAAAATGAAACTTACCTGCTTGAACTCTTTCATTTGATCTGGGTGTCTGTCTTTAGGTACCACCGGTACTTTAAAAAACCTGGTACCGTAACGTTTTCATTTTTTTAGTACCGAATTGGTACCGAAGTACCGGCTCTTTTGACAACACTAAAAGAAAGTAAGGGTTGATTCCAATATCTTGTTGACTTTAAGTAAGATTGCATAATGTTATCAGTGCTCTGATTACTGAAACAAGAAGTGAGGACACTGGCATTTGATCTGAACTCGACGACTCCGACATTAGAAAAACAATCTTGTGTTTATTTTAAGCATCTAGGCTTAAAAAGCTGAACTAGGTGGGTGTGTCGCCAATGGCCCGTTCACATGACAAATATGCAGACACTTCCTCAAAGCCTGTATGCCTGACACGTCATTAACAATCCATCAAACCCCTGCAGTTTTGGATGAGCAGGTTTCAGGTCGAGCTGCAGAGACCTGCTCTGTGGAGATTGTCAGATATGCATGTCACTTACATAACTCCTTCATAAGTACAGACTTCCTTGTCTTACGGTAAACACAAGACCGTTTGTACAGTAACAAAAGAAGCACATTAACAGATTACTTCCACAGAAATTCTGCCTTACTGTCATGCCCTCTGAGCACATTTCATACGATTACGATTTCTGCTCACACCAGTCAGGGTTTGCAAATAGGTGAGGATTGATTGCAGTGAAAACATGATGGAACATGAATGTGAAGAGGAAAATGGTGCAGTACTGTCTGAATGTTCAGATATTGTATTCTTGCACTGAGCTTACAGCATCTTTAACAAATTTAATACTGTAACAAATCCATAATGGTGCAGCACAGTGATTTTAGGCTAATTTAGGGTGCAGTGCTGTCTTTAAAACTGATTTTGTCTGGTCTGACCTCCATTTCCTACTTGTTTCTTACTGGAGGAAATGCATGGTATGATTGTTCCCAGAAAAGACATGCTTGCAATTTTAACTCTTATTTTGTGCTTTGCTTTTCTCTTTAATAAGAATTGTATTTTGTGCCACATCTGCTAAAATCTGATTTAATTCTGAGATAACTGTACTAAAACGGTCCCCACATTTTAGGGGTTTATTAATAACTACAGCTAAATCTATTAAAAACCTTTTTATTTATTGAAACCAAACTTAAAAGTTAAAGCTGAAGCACTAAAATTATTAACTGGAAACAAATAAAAGCTAAAACTAAAATAAAAATTAATTAAACCTAAAAGTAATATTTAAAGGTTAGGTGATTTCAAAGAGCAAACTAGCTTTAAAAGCATAAGATCTCACCCTCCCCGCAAAACACTCTCCAAAGCCACGCCTCCACAGGCAGAACAGAACCTAACCAGCAACACGATAAGAGACGGCGTTGGTGGAGGATTGAAAGCAATGCTGTCAGATCACCTAATGTCTCATTCACCAGCGAGAAAACATTACAGTAGAAAGCGCATGATATTACAATTATAACGCCTTCCATTCTCGCTCGGCCTGCAATAGGGAAATGAAACGCGCTGATGACGTATCACGTCTGCGCAAACAGGGTGCAAATACATACATTGACAGACAGGTATGACAGCCTATCAGAGCCCTCGGGCTGAGAGATATGATTGGATTTTATGATCCAACACCTTCCACAGACGATATAAATACATTTAGGCCACTTAACTTAGTGGTTGCTATCAGGATGTGAAGAGACTTTCAACCAGCTTTAGAACCAAATCACCCACCCTGCCTTTAAAGTCCCCATGAAATCAAAATTAAAGTTTTTTGGGTGTTAGTATCAATATGTTAGTCTTAAGGTTATCTATAAGGCAGTGTGCTCCAAAACAGTGACAAAAGTCGCATTTAGAAGATATAAGCATTCAAAGCTTTCAGTTCGCCACTTCCGCCAAAACGGCGCAACTCGCTATTGGCTATTTTAAAAAGGGGCAGGGCTGCTTGATATGTCCCGCCCTGTCTTCCTGTTTCAGTTAAAATGACATCAACACATAGAGTAACGCTGCGTGTTTCTAAGCATTTCAGGGGACCTTTAAAAGAAACAAAAACTAATAAAAATGACGAAAGCGCAGAACAAAATGAAACTAAAATTAAAAATGAAACTACATTTAAAACGAAAATTGAAAATTTCAAAAAGCTATTCTAAAATATGAATAAAAATTATTAAAAGAATATAAATAATAACACTGCCACGCTTTTGACCAACGAGTTTTGATAGTGATAACTGGAATTTTACTGGAATTCTAAAAATGAAACTGAAAAGAAAAATTGAAATGCCATTAAAATATGTTTTAGAGTTTAGCACAACAAGACAGAAATGTTTGTACTGATTAGAAATCCATGCTTTTTCCTTTTTTCCAAGTAATTTCCATGACTTTTCCAGGCCTAACTTGAAAATTCCCTGGAATCTCCAGCTGTTCCATGACTGTAGGAACCTTTGATTAAACATGTTCATCCACAAGCACAGACCATCATGTTGGCTTTCAAGGCTTACCTGGCATAGGGGCTTGTGTAGTTTTTGGAAAAGCATTCGCTGGCCCTCTGCTGCATTTCACTTGCATTCCCAAAGCCATGGCCCCTGCCCCAACCGTCTTCTGAAGAGGTCATAGGAGTGTACAGGTTAAAGACGGGCTTCTGATCTTTCTGCTGACTGACAGCAGCTGTGGATGGGCCGGTCCCAAATAGGAAGCTCTGTCCACTTGAAGTGGTGACGCCACAAATGTTAATGGCTGTGCTGTGCAGACTCGCCTGACAGTAGTTAGTCCCACCGTTGTTCTCCTGTTTGATGACCGCAGGAGTGCACAGCTGGATTATAGAGTCCTTCTCCACCTTCACAGTGGACAAGATGGTGCTGGTGGTGACCGTGTTGATGCTGGAGGGGCTGGAAGTGGAGGTCTCGCCATTGACCGCAACCTTTGAGTCCCTCTCCGTATTTGTCGGCAAGTCTCCGAGCAAAGCATCTTCACCTATGGTGGAGAGGAACGCGTCATCCGCCACGTAGAAATCGGAAGGCGATCCGTCCAACTCGAAGTCCTGCAGGAGGTCCAGAGTGTTGTCACTAAAGAGCTTATGATTGCCGACATCAACATCTTTCCCAATGGGCCCAAAGGAATCTTGGTCAAAGTACATATCGCCTTTATCCATGGGGGAAAAGTCCTCAGTTTTTAAAGGAAAGAGATTGGGGTCGACTCCACCAATCAGGGAGTCCACTGAAGGGGAAGTGCTATTGAGGTCTGCAATGCTGGCCTCCAGACCTAAGAAACTGTCTCCCAAAGTGAAAGCTCCCAGGGTCTGGTGTTGCTGAGCCCTCTGCTCCTTCCCAAACACTTTGAGCTCTGAATCTTCCCCAAAGATGCCAAGGGTGGAGGGCACGGAGGTGGTGTGCTCCTCCAGAGTGGGCGAGTTGCTCAGGCCATTAGGAAGGTCCCCGGAAACCGGCTGCATCAGCGGATTGGTTTGAGGAACCAGCGAGGTGGGGGCGACAGACATGGCGCTTTGTATTCCGCTTCGTAAAATTCCCTCGACTGGGCTGTTGCTGTAATCCAACGTATTCAAATGATCATCTCTCTTGGCGCCATTATTCAGTCCTCCTTGATCCATCTTGCATTTCTGTGGTAAAACAGGACAAAACAATTATAGTTTCTGAAATGGCATGAATAACACCCCCGAAAAACCTAGTTTACTGTAAGTATCATGAAAAGAAAAGAAAACATTATTAAGTGCATTAAGAGTACAGACAAATAGCACCATGGTATGAGCATTTTTTACTTAAAAAAAACAACAACAAAAAAACATTTATATATATATGTGACCCTGGAGCACAAAAGCAGTCTTAAGTCGCTGGGGTATATTTGTAGCAATAGCCAACAATACATTGTATGGGTCAAAATTATTGATTTTTCTTTTATGCCAAAAATCATTAGGATATAACGTAAAGGTCATGTTCCATGAAGATATTTTGTAAATGTCCTAC